CACCGCACCCGCCCGCGGCACCGCACCCCCCTCCTGGGGGCTTGGAGGATCGTTCCCGTGGAACGGCAGGCACTGGGCTGTGCGCAGCCAGGGCTCCTAGGGCTGTCTGCGGCTGAAATGCAGAAGTGTCACTTCCCTTCGAGCCGCAGGGCTCGTGAGCTGACACGTGAGAGCTGCCCGAGCAGCTGCGCCCCGTGCTCAGCGCTCCCGCAGGAGGCTGCGAGGTCGTTGTGGAACCAATGAGGTCGGAAGAGACGTTCAGGGTTATCAAGTTCAACCTTCGACTGAATGCCACCGTGCCCACTAATCTGTGTTATGAAATGCCATGTCTACTCATTTTTTGAGGGCTTCTAGGGGTGGTGACTCCACTGCTTCCCTGGGCAGCCCATTCCAGCTCCAATGCTTAACCACTCCTTCAGTGAAGAATTTTTCCCAACCTAAACCTGCCCTGGCAAGCTTAAGGCCATTTTCTCTTGTCCTGTTGCTAGCTGCCTAGGAGAAGATCTGACCCTCATGTTTTGGCCATGCTCTCCCTGGGAGCCAGGTGGTTGTCCACAAACAGGCTCTGTGTGCTTCCAGCAGCTGCTGTGCTGCCGTGGGATGGCTCCAGGTGCAGAGCTGCTGGGGCTCAATCCATGGGGTGTAACAGTTACTTGTTGCCACCTCTGGTGCTGATCAGATTGGATAGAGCTCCAAACGCTGTTTCTAAGAAACACAAATGTTTTTGTTGGGACTTGTGAAAGAGATGTCACGTAATCAAGTTCTTTGCCAAAAGGACTTTATATCCTTCTACTGACTTAGATCTCAGTGTTAGTATCTCATAGTTGGGCACTGTTCTTGTCACATTAGCTGAATTTAGATGTGTACAGTTCCCTCTGCACCTGAATGTGTGGGATGCTCCCAGCTCCCTGCCTCTGTCCATCTGGCTTTCAGCTGTGCTAGTTCATGTTTGCATGTACTTGGCAGTGAATTCAACCTACTCTTTGTTTTCTTTCATCAAAGCCTGAAGAGGACCAGAAGCTGATTTATTCTGGGAAGCTGCTGCTTGATCATCATTATCTGAGAGAGTTGTTGCCAAAGGTATAGAAAAATGCCATTTATGATGTGCTGAAACATGAAGAGAAGTGATTTCTTTTTAACATGTTTTCCCTTACATTTTAGCATGGGGAGTTGCATGCTCTTCACTTGGTGTACAGCGTCAAGACACCTGCAAATGTGCAAGAAACCAGATCAGAGGTACTTTAACATGCTACTCTGAATCTTGGGGTTGTACTGAAAATAAGAAGTGTTAAATGGCTATTCTAAGGTTCCCTGGTACTGCAGGTTTTCCCTACTAGTGCAACAGACTTACTTTGTGACAGTTTGTTTAGGAATGTGAGAATGTTTTTGGATTAAGCTGAGTGAAAACATTGACTCTATAGCTCATCAGCAGAGATTCTCATGGCATCTGTTAAGAAATACCAGAACTATCATCTAGTTGTAACACCACTCAGGGGAGAAATGCTTTCTGCTAAATGCAGTTTATTAAATAGAATGTGACTTGTGTCCCAGGCTTTTTTTTATGGACAGATGGAGCTTGTGGGTAGAAGACAAGTTAGTGGAAGTGGTTCTGATCTGTATATGGGGAAGGAAGAAGACTGAGAGCTGCAGACACTTTAACTGCTCTCATTAATGACTCATCTTTGCTGCCTTCTCTACCCGCTGAGCCTTAGTGCTTGAGCTCTGTACTTACTGGTTTCAAGTGCAAATGACCAAAACACATTCTTACTTTGATGTGGATGAGATAACGCATCCAGAGGTGTGCTCCTGTTGCCCACTACAGGCAATCTGAGCTTACCCTACCCATGCTTGGTAGTGGCTAGATGTGAGCCAGCTTTGCCCTGGATATTATACTGATGTATCACCACAGAACAGCTCTTGAACTTGGTGTACAGCAGTTTGTGTATACAAGTACAGACTTAACATGGTAAAAAGTCAAACTGCCTTGAGTGTAGTTTCCCCTCTTTTTTGCAATTACATTTTTTATAACCAGATAGACTCTCAGTATGTGCATGAAAAGTGTAGATCTGGTGAAAGGGAAGAGTAACATCAAGTCAGTTTCAAATCCCAGTCATTTTTTAGGGAGTTTTAAAGTACTGAGGGAGGTGCTTGTGATATGGTGCCCAAGAGCAGTGTCAGCACTGTGGCAGCACAGAGAGGTGCTGTGTGGGACTGAGTGTGTGAACTGTGTAGCAGTGTTAAAACAAGAGCATATTCTGTCTGGTGTAATCTTTTTGCTTAAGGTGCATGTGGTGTCCTGAGTAGACCTCACTGGTTGTATTGCTGTCTCTAGGTTAAAGCTGATCAGCCCAAGTTATCATCAGAAGCTAGTCAGGAACAGTCTGTACCTTCCTCAAATGATGCAACACAGAGATGCTCTCCTGTTGGCCAATCTTCAGCAGAAGCCAGTAACAGGTAAATACAATTTTATGGACATCATTAAGATTTTTAAAATAGAATCATAGAAACATCAAGGTTGGAAGGGACCTTTGAGATCATTAAGTCAACCACTCTAATCCATAAACCACTAAGCCATATCACCCAGTGCCATATCCAGATGCAAAAATGTTGTGGTTGTGTTGGGTGCCAGCTCCTTACACCATATGTACTGTCATAAGCCCATAGTGCATGGGCCAAATGTGATGAGGCTACATATAAAATCTTTAGTGGACACAATAGTTTGGGTTGGAAGGGAGCTTAAAGCTGTTTAGTCCAACCCCCTGCCAAAAGAGGGACACCCAACTAGATAGGTTATGCAGAGCCCTGTCCCACCTGGCCTTAAACACTTCCAGGGATGTGGCACCTAAAGACAAATGCACTGCTCTGTTAACATCTTCTATTTATTCATATGGGTACAGAGGTGTCTTTAATATTCTAGGACGAAGAATGAATTCTTGTATTTGGATGCACAAAGTGGTAGAATCTATTTACATTGTCATGTAGTAAGTGACTCTTGCTGTTTGTCCAACGTTTGCTAATGAATGTGTTCAATTTTTGACCAAGGCTGGAAACAACTTGGCATCCCTTCCAGAGTGTGGCTCCTGGTTTCTCTGCTTACATGACCTACAGCATGCTCCAGATGGCCTGGCTCCAGCAGATTTATGCAAGACAGTATTACATGCAATAGTAAGTGTTCTGTCCAAAACCACCAGTAGGAAGTAGAAATTGTTATACAAGGAAATGGAGAACTCCTAGTAGTTCTTCATCTTTTGATGGTGTTTGAAGATGCTTTTCCATTGTAACTCTAGCTGATTGGTGTGGGAATGTACCTCTAACTGCCATGTGGTACTCTGGTGCTGAACAGGCCAGTGGGCCTGAATCTTGCAAGCTGCAGATCTGACTCCTTTGATCAGGACAGGTGTCTCTAGAGTAAATGTAATCCTGATGATGAGCCTCAGAGCTTCATTTTTTCACTTTAAGCAGTCAAAAGTAGCACACAGCATTGACTGGAAGTCAGTGGCAGAGGTCAAGCTGAGACTTGCAGAAGGCTTTTGGACTACCTGCAGGTAGCTCTGAAAGCTTTTTTGTGAAGTATTGATGTTACTGTTCATAAAGGGGAGGGTACCTGGTTTGACTTGAAGTCATTATACAGCTGTTATGGGTAGAACTGAAACTTGTTTTTAATCCTTCTGTAGCCTCTAAACTTGAGAATTTCTACTTACTTGTGATCTGACTCTATTCTTAAAGTTGTGCAGGTTTTCAGTGCCTGTGTTAAGGGTGAAGGGATTTGACTGAGCCTCATTCTGTCCTTTGTTCTCTGCTTCCAGCTTGGCTTCTACTGCTGCATCTGCTGACCCATCCCATGCATGGCATTCCCAGGAGATACCAGTGGCACCAGTGACACCTCCAGCTCCTCTCCCAGACCCATTTCCTGCACAAAACCAGCCTGGAAACCAGAATGCTGCTGCCCAGGTTAATGCAGTGGCCAACCAGAACCTGCGGATGAACGTCCAAGGGGGTCCCCTCATGGAGGAAGAGGAGGAGGGTGGGAATCGAGACTGGTTGGACTGGCTCTACTCAGCAACACTGTTATATGTTTTTGTCAACATGGTCTATTTCTACTCCAGTATGAGCAGACTCCTCCTGGTCCTGGGTGGCACTGTTCTCATGTACCTGTAAGTGAATGGCATTAACACTTACTGTTAGAAGTGTTTCATTTAAGTACTGAGCTCTGCTGTGCTCATATTCCTGGCAGCTGAGCTTCATAGGACTCTTGTCCCTGGAAAAGGCAAACCACTCCTGGCATAGCTCAGTATTTAGCAGAAATAAAAGTATGGATGTGCCTGAATTAAATGAAGAAGAGGTGGCTGATAGCAGGTGATCTCACTGAGGTTTTGTACTGATGCTTCTGGTGTGGCTTGCTTTGTTAGAAAACTGCTTGAAACCAAAGTACCTCCTGGGGTAAAGCTCCAGCAGCTTGGCAATGTACAGCAGACTGACCTGTAGGTGCAATGTGGTAAATGACAGTTGCTTGTTGGGAAACAAGTGGTTGAAGCTTGGGAAAAGGTTCTCGTGCCTGTCCTTTCAATCCTGGGCCCGTGCAATTTTTTCTGCTATGTTGGCTCTGTGGAGAGCAGACCAGGCTGAACTGCCTTTGAACCTCTCTGGGCAGGGGGGATAATTAGGGTAAACCCATAGTAATGGTAATTACATCTCAGCTGCCATGCTTGAGGTGTCTTGTCTGAGGAAGATCATCTGTCTTCAAAAATTCTTTGATCACCAGTGAAACAAGTGATGTAGACCTCTGAATTTCTGTTGGTGGGTGTATGAGTTGAAACTGGAGCAGATCTTCCAACAGCTATGTAGATTTGGAGGATGAAGCTTAATTGCTTCATTAGAAGTCCTTAAATTTTACTGTTGATAGTTCTGAAGGGTAACTTTTGAACAGCTTATCGTGGGTTACAAGGTGCAGGTGCTTTGGAGATAGTCCTTCTACAGACCTTCAAACAACAAAATGTTGTTTGGCACTTGATTCTTCCGATGCATTTCTGAAATTACACTGTTTGCCTTCTAGGGAGGTCTGTGTGGCCTGTTGTGTTTTGGTAAGGTAGTGCTATGTTCTTTGTTGTGCCCTTTTTTAGGGCAAGTACAGAGAAGTTACCCAGGGGTGTACATAACATGGTAGCCATGCTCTGTATACCTCCAGCAGCATGCTGGGTGCAAACCTGGATGTAGTGCTGCTTGTTTGGAATGGGAGAAGATGCTCCTCTTCCCCTCCCACCTCATGGTTTGCTGTGAACTGGAGGCTTTGAAAGTGCTAAATGGGTCAGGACAGAAATACCTTAATATGTGCTGAACTTGTTGCCAGCAGCTCTGAGCAGTCATTGTGCAGCTGTTGGTGTAACAAGGGGTAGTGTTGAAGTATCACTAATTCAAGTCTGTTGCCTTCCCCAGGCACCACGTTGGATGGTTCCCATTTAGACGAAGACCAGTTCAGCCTGTTCCAGGCAATGTTCCCCCTCAAGCTGCTCCAAACCAGGACCAGAACAATAACTTACAGGTACTGCCTTGCTAGATTTTTAAACCATGAGCAAGAAACTCTGAAGTTTCACTTTCAGTTTACTAATAATGTGTAGTAGCAAAAACTTTTCTCTAAACGTTTTCAAGAAACTATCTATCTTGCATGGGGGAATAATTGTCACCTGAGTCATCCTTTGGTGTAGCAAATTCCATTGTTCTACAAAATATTTTGGTCTGAATGTTATATTTTAGTTGTTTGTTCTTTGGGAAGGTGCAGTGGAGAGTGGCCTGTCACAGGCTGTAATTGAGGACAAGGTTCAGACTGTAACTCTGTAGGACTTGGGTCTATAAGCAGTTTGAGTCTTGGATTTAAAGCTGACACTTCTGGTTGATGTCAGTGAAATTTAATTAGCTGTAAATACATAATTCACCTGATCTGGTCCTTCATGCTGGTCTTAAACAGTGTTCTTGGATACACTGAATTCACCAGTAGTGCCAGCGTGCAGCTTGCTTTTGACTTTGTATCTGAGGATACTTGCAAGTTTTTATATTCAGTGACATTTGAGCAGCAAAACATATTTGACTCCTGATTCTTCTAACATTTCTGAAATCCTCTTATTTACCAAATATCCTTTATTTTGGCAGGGGGGAAATGCAGGCAGAGCAGATGGATCTGAGGTGCCTCCTGATGACGGACAAGCTTTACAAGAACTGCAGCAAGCTAACCCTTCACTTATGAGCACAGTGTGGTTGTTCTTCAAGACTTTCTTTGCATCCCTCCTCCCAGAAGGGCCTGGAGTGATTCGCAACTGATTTGTCACCAGCTGCTTGTCTGAAATTGCAATGGGCTTTAGTCTATATGAGAGAATTGGATACCAACTCCAAACTGGGCGTGGACATGGATGGCACTTCCTCTGGCTTTCACTGACCAAGCAAACAAAGCTGCAGGGTGCCTTGCATCACTGCAGCCTAGAGATTAAGATGCTTGTCCTCATTCCAAAGAACTTTGTTCTGTAGTATTATTAGGTACCTATGTAGAGGCTTGGCAGTATGAACTTGTGCACTAAATGCACAGGCTCTGAGCAGGTGTGCAAAAATGTTAGAGAAGCAAATTGCTTCTTCTGTGCAATGTGATTCCTGTTGGAATGTTTCAAATGTTGTTTTAATTACACTGAGTGTAGGATCTCAAGAAAAAAATTGCTAGATATGCATTAACAGATTTTTAGGGAAGATCTGTTGTTTAAATTGCTTCAGCCATGTTTTAAATTTTATTTGTAAATACTTCCCTACGAAGGATGCATTGTCTAATTTCCTTGTTGGACGATGTGGAGGACTGTAAGACAGTGACCTGGATAAGCAATTACCTCAGTGAAGTTGCAGGCTAAATTTCATTTTGCCAAACTCAGATGGTTTAAACGCAAGACTTAATTCCCTTCTCTCCCCCTACACTGTCCCCACTGCCAGATCATGGGGGAAGAGTGTTCAGGTCTATCTAGCAAAAAATTATACAAGATGTAAACTTCACTGCTTTTGGATGCAAAGTTAATACAGTCTAATGCCTGTATTCAACTTTGAATTCCCATTCCATTCCAAGTCTCTTGTACTACTTAATTGTGTTCACTTTAATTTCTGATATGGTTAAGGGCTGTGATTCCAATAAAATTTGCAGGCATTTGTATAGACTCTGCAGCAATCAGAAGATAACCTGTGCAAAGCATAGGCTGTGCTCCTGCCTTCTTTTTATTGAAAGATCATAAGCGGTTTGGGATATGAGGAGAAAAGGTACTTACAGAGCCTTAAACTCAGTTCCTTGCCTAACTGTTCTTCAGCAGCATTTAGCAGTTAAAGTGCCTTGGGTAGCTTGTGTTTGCTCACTGCAAACTGGGAAGTCAGCAGCTCCCACAAAGGCTGACACACAAAGCCATGGACATCTTGAAGCAGGAAATTGCACAGGTATTTGGAAAGTTTGGCCCCTTGAGCCCTGCCCTTGTGACTACTGGTGGAGTTGCAACACATCTTGGCTCAGGGTTTTAACTTGGCTTGAAATGTGCTGTCCAGGAGCAACAGCTACCTGTGGAACTTGTAGTGCTTGTCCTCTGTCCTGATGAATACAGGCAGCACTGTTGGTTTAGGAGTGTCTTTGCCAGAGCTAACATGAGTGAGTTGGTACAAGCAGTTGTAACAGCCTAACCAGTAATGCTTGATCTTGCCACTTCAGATCAGACTGATGTTAGGCATGGTTTGTTGGTGCTGCCTGTGGTAGTGAGCTTAATCCTAGTGGTCTTTTTGCTTTGAACACTTTCCAGGTCTATTACCAGGTTTGTTTTTCTGCCACATCTTCAGTGTTGCTTAGAGACCTGGAGGATGGGTAGGACAACTGGTAAAGGTCTTTAAATATTTGGAATGAAGTAAATTGAGAAGAGTTGAGTTTTACTTCAGGTGTATCTTGCATAAGCCTTTGAGGGCTTCTTTCTTGCCATGCTAGTGGTAAGTCTGCCTGTGCTCAGCATTGCATGAAAAGAAACTTCCCTGTCTGACCAGTCAGATACTGCTCTGGGAGTAGCGCTTACAGCACAAAGGCATCCCCAGGCTTGTGCACCCTCAGTCCATGCCTTTCATTAGCAAAGGTTTGGTGCCAAGTCATGGCCCCCTTGCTGGGGACCAGACATTTCCCCAATCCTGGACACAACCTGCAGCTCACAGGCAGCTGCACACTGAGCCACTGCCTGCAGGCATTCCACAAGCGTGTTTTGTGGATGATGGCTTTATTTTTTTTTTTCTTTCAGGGTATAGTAAACCATCACTCAGGTGTCTTGGCAGAGTACTTACATCCACTGAGCTCTGCGTGTGCCCAGTCTTGGCAGGAGAGGGTATTTCTTGGCAGCCAGAAATAGACTGGTTTGATGTGGTTTAGGCAACAAGCACATAGTGCTGGATTACTTGCAAAATCTCTAATCTGGGAATTTATCAGAGCCAGCAAAACATCTGTTGTTGTCTTGAGTCTTTTGCTGCTCCCATGAGCAGGCAGATGGCTTTAAAATTAGTTGGGAAACTAATGAAGCATAGCTACTGCCGCTGGAGGGATGCAGTGAGGCTCCTGGGCCTTAGAGCGTGTTTCCTTAATGGCTCAGTGAAAGGCACAACCTCTGCCAGAGGAGGGAAGCTGTGGCTGCAGCAGAGGACACTGGGCAAATAATGTGGAAGCAAATACTGTGTAATCCTGCAAACAGCTGCCAGTATTGCACCCGAGCAGGAGCACTGGGATATTAGGGCACAGTGCCTGGCTGTGGGTTCCAGGCAGTGACAGCCAGCCTGGAGGTATGTGGAGTTGGGAGTCTGACGTTGCCCTGACCTCTGACCAGTGGAGGTCTCTGCTTTGCCTGAGACAGCCTGGGACAGGCAGGGATGACTGAGCTGTGGAAGGAACTGAGGCAGCTCTGCCTGGAGGGATGGCAGTGTAACCAGGGAGGTATGGAAGGAGCCTTGGCAAGGAAGGGGATCTAGCTTGTGTTTCAGCTGTGGGTGACAGTGAACAAGTGGCCTGAAGGTGAGGGAATTCAGGTTAGACATTAGGAAAAAATGAGCCTTGAATCTTCCAGAGCAAGGCTGCTGAATGAGCATAGGCATTCCAGAGAGGTTTTCTGGGAATAACTTCTGTCCCTTCTGCTGGGACAGAAGTTGCAGAGAAGACAAGGAGCCTTGAGGCTGTGGGTTTAGGAGGTTGGGTTTGTTTTGGCTCACACTTCAAGCTGTGTGATTCTGCTGCTTGGTTTAACTCCTCTTCACACTTGCAAGCACAGCTGCATGCAGATGTACTGGTGTGGCACTGCTGCAGCACTACCTGTTCAGCCATGGTACTGTGCAGGCTCCCCTGGGAGCAGGTGAGTTATGGTGGTGATTGCCCAGTAGTGATAAAGTGAGCAGCAGGATTAAGCCAGTTCCTCTGCTGGTGTGTCTCCTGATATGCTCTGTTGGCTTCTCCCAGTTGAGAGCAGTTCTCTGTCCTCGCTGAAAAACAAGTTGAGGGGGAAATATACAGTCTGTTCTTCTCAGCCATTCTTGTTGTGTAAACTCCATGTCTAAGCTAGGATCTAAAAGCCAGGCTGCCTCTTCTTGCCAGTCATAATTGTTCTGTGCTTGCAAATTAGGTGATGGTGCACAAGGATGGCCTGAGTCCAGCTCCCTCTTCTACACTGTATTTGGATTTGTAGTGTTAACAGATGCAAAACATTCATTTTACCAGAAAAAGCAGGAACTACTTCTCAAAGACACACAAGAAGCAGATTTTGAATGATGGGACATTTCTAGGGAGTTGCTTTTTTGAACTGTAACTCCGACATTTAAAGAAACTGAGGCAAGAGTTTGGAACAACTCTACCCTAAAGGACACATTATATGGGATGGGAACTTAGTCCCTTTACTATTTATTAAAAAAATAATTAAGCATTCACTGAAATACTCAGAGGGGATAATGGCCTCACTGCTGATGCCAAGTGCAGACTTGGCCTAATTGTAGCTTTGGAAGACACTGTCTTTCTCTAGAATTGAGGAACCATTGAAGTCCTGTTTGTCACCACAGGTATGCTCCTATCCTCAACTGATGGAACACAAACCTTGTGAGAAGGAGGTTGCTGCTGAGTAGATAAGCTGGGGATGGTGTTTTATGTGTGTGTGAGACTTCCCCTTTCCTCCAAAGAGCTGTTTCACTTGTGCACGTGCTTGTTGTCCCTGTTCTCAGCAGCCAGGGGCATTCCAACAGCTGTGCCCTTGCCCAGCACAGTGTTAAAACCTCCCTCTGATCTTTGCCCTATGATCCCTTTCTAGCTGTGAGTCTGGTGGGATTTTCAAAGCTGTGCATCCAAAATGCCTCTCCTCAGAGGCCATCCCAGTGCTATTCTCCCATTGTGTTACCAAACATACCAACTGCATCCTCATCACCTCACCACAGTCCCTCTGCTTCATAAGAATAGCTCTGCTGGTATTTAAGGCAGTCTGAATATCAAATGGAATGATATCATGGGGGTGAATGAGTTCTGGGGTACATCATGAACCTGCAGTGAGAGACTTGAGGTCAGTTCATGCTCAGCTGCCTGCCTGGGAGAGTTGGGCAAATCCTGGGCAATGCTGCTTCTGTGCCCTTGTCCTGTGTCTGTTCAGTGGTGTGTGCTGCAGAAAACCCACCCCAATTTCTAATATTACCACTGAAAGTTGTATTTGTTACTTTCAGTCCAGATTTGGCAGTGCAGGATCAGTGCTGCAGAAACACAGCTGGCTGCACTTTCAGCCCCAACCCTGCTGCCCTGGGTAGCCCCAGCTGTCAAAAGCTTGGCCTGACCTAGGGCCACCTGTGTGTGTGCCAGCTCATTTTCTGTTTTTTTAGATATTGTTATGGATGATACTGATAGGGAAGAGAAGGAATTGAGTTGATTTCAGGAGAATTTTGTTGGAAACCATGTGGAACTCTACTGTTCCAAAAACCAGTTGTGTGGTTTACCTCCCTGCTTGTTAAAATAGCCTGTTAAAATCTCACAGTTCATGAGCAGGATTTTGTCAACTTACTTGCTGCCTAACACCCAAGTCTATCATGTTCATAGTTTTTGATGGCAAGCAATAACCTTTTTTTCCAAGCTGAGTCTTTTCAAC